AAAAAAAGGCTCGCAAGTTTAATCTGATACTAGCTGGTCCACACTGAATGATATAAAAAACAGCTTACTACAATGAATGGTAAAATAAAAAAAAAAAACGTTGGGAATCCGGAACACGAAAATGAGACGAATGTTTGCCAAGGAGAAACCTGGTGATCAACATAAGCGTGACCTCGTCGTATCAGTTCTACTGCTAGGTCATAGAGCTCTTGAAAATAATCACTGGTGTAGGTGATCTGGAAAATTCCAACATATATTAAATGGTATCGACATGGCAAAGTGTAAACTTTAAACATTTGGAAAGAAATCATACCTTAAAGGGTGCCCACCCCATCCATCCAACAATTTCTTCAATGTGATCAATATATTCCTTTTTTTCCGCTTCTGGATTGGTATCGTCGTACCTATAAACAAAAATAATTAAATAATTTTAGGAATAAGGAGAACTCTTCTTTAGTAGTTGAGCAATAGGAACCCCACTATTACATTTAACTTCACCAGGTATTACCTACCTAAGAATAAAATCACAGATCGCCTGTTGTGGATTATACTAAAAGCAGCAAAATGTAAAGGAATTTGACTTCCGTAAACATCTTTCAGATATGACATGGGTCCATGGTAGCACAGCCCCAATATTGAGCATGCACATAATTAACACGGTAATATTCCAAACTAAATCTTTACTAAATGGACTTCATAAGCATATCTGTACAGAATAAACTGAATAACTGACTCTCATGAAGTTGCCGTGCAATACAGAAAATGGAATTCAGTAATTTTCATTCAAAGCGCCCTTCCAACCCACCAAGCATAGTACAACCAAAAGGACAAGGCCATATAGAAGCATAACCAACACAAAACTACTTCTGTTAACTCCGATATAGACCAACATAACTAAGAGCTTGTTTGGCTAAGCTTATTTTAAACAGCTGATAAGCTCTTACATCCGATAAGTTGTTTTAAAAGCTGGATAAGTTGTTCCATCTTATTTTTGGAATTAATATTTGAACTGTTTGGATAATTAACTTATACGTTATTTTTAATGTTTTTAAGATCTTAAATAAAAATGAGGGGTATAGCCGTATAGGTACTCTTTAGAAAATATTTTATAAGCAGCTTATTTTTATAATTTTTAAGATCTTTTAGAAAAAACTTACCGAAGACTTTGGAAGAGCTAATCTTTAAACATCTTTAAAACAGCTTATAAGCTTAGCCAAACACTCTAAATTGAGTCATAGAATCTTTTCAGGGGTAACAAAACAAAGAAAAAGTTCATATAGAAGCATTCCTAACCTCAGGTAGCAGCATCCACCTCTCTCTTTTGCTAGGCCAAAGTTCACAAACATAGCCTACACAGTTGGTTTGCAAGATCAAGAGCAGGAACAATAATTCAAAATAATATAAAAGTTTTGACATACTAGATTGGCCAAACAATTACCTTTGCGTGACCTATATGCAGGTAACCATTGGGTTCAGGTGGAAAACGTGTCAAAACTTTTCCGTCAGTGACCTTCAGATGTTTATTGAGTAGTTCCCTTGAATTGGAAGCCCTAAGCACAGGCCGATCACTGAAATATATTTCTGTATGTACCTGCAAATAAGCAACAGATCTAACTGCTGATGATCCTAGAACACTTACAAAATTACATCACCCTATGAGGCTAAAAAAATAAACCCAAATTATTCGATACTCAATCCGAGATAGTATCAGCTCAGTTCGTTCAACAAAACAATGCAAGTTTAAACACATTTATAAGATTCAGAGCTCTATCAACTCGATCTGATAAACAATGACAGAAATATTTGTCAAATTAGAATTTTACTCGAGTTCAACTAGATTAAAATTATTCAGATTTGACTCGTTTGCAATCAAACACAATCTCAATAAAGATCATAACAAGTTTGAATTATACATGTTCGACTCAGTTTTCTTGTGTTTATACCCCTCGCGTTAAATATTTTCTCAGCTTTCTCAAAACATGTACCAGTTCAAAGGAAAATTTCAGTGCTTAAACATGTGAGATGCAATCCGAGTGAAGCAACGCATAGGACTCAAGTCATCAGAAAATCATAAAAGCAGACATTCTAAGCTCCCTATCCTTGTGTCTTTGATCTTAGTATATCCAAAAAATAATATGTTTACAACACCAGAGGGTGCTATTTAGATTTTGCTACCTTCAAGTTCTGTTCTGGTGAAGGAAATATTGAGAATGGATTGATTTCTTCTTCAGGTACTGGAGCTGCCTCTTCAACGATAGCTTTATCCTGACAAACCGACACAAGTAAGAGAATATGACTATAGCTTATATAATCAATTTGCAAGAGAACATTTCATTAACGAATTATTGAACACCATAAATTGCTTGGAGCCATCTAGTAAGCAAAAGAAAGACCAACCAATGTATTGGAAGTAATTCAAAAAAACTGATAATGAAGCCCATAGGTTCAAAAATGCCGAAAAACACTCATTACTCATATACACGTAAACTCGAAAGAAAAAACCCTTCTCAGCAAAATGGTGTGGCTCACCTCAGGCTTGGGCTTCTCTTTTTTCTTTTTTGTGGGCTTTTCGTTGTCTGCAGCTGTTCTTTCACCAAGCAGAGAATATAATTCGGCGTCAACAGTTTGCTGGTGCCAGAAGTTGTCCCGATCAGAAAAAATAAACAAATAAATGAAGAAATGTCCGTGTTAGTTTTCTTATTAGAGAACAGTGGAAGGGGCATACCTTGACAATCTTTGGATCAGCCCATGGCTGTTTCTTTCTGATCTGACCAAATATTTCGCCAACTGTATCCAACATTGTTTATAAAAAGGACTAGTCATGATCATAATAGAACAAAGAAAACAAAAACAGACAGGAGTTTCATAGCATTAGAAGCTTGTACATGATGTTCATTTAAACCATAAGATATCATATCAGAAGTACCGTTACATCTTACACCAGATTGTCAGTTTTGTTCACAATTCGATATATGTTGTTATGATCGCAATAGATTAATATCCCGAAGGAAAACTAAACGCTCTAAACAATTTCGTAAACAGTGTATTGAAAGAAAATACATACGAGTAAAATATGGGTTCTCTATTTATTGTACTGAGATATCCGGACCTAATGTACAGGACATGCAGGTAAACACATAAGCTCACTGAGAGCAACTGAAAACGACAGTGTTACATAAACAGGGATTTTCATAACCACCAATTATCATTTTAACATAGCCCAGTAGTCATTATTCAATTATTATATGTAAAACAAGTTATGTGCACCATGAGCAGAAGTAAACTAACCATTCGTTCTGTACCGCTGCTCCAAAATAACAGCTTTACTCTCTTCAAAAATTTCATTAACAACCTTTTTAATATCTTCCAGAGAGATCTCAACTCCTATTTAAGACAAAATTCAATATCTAGGATTAGAATATATGAATACATTTGGTAAGAAGTTATATAAGGAGAAACAACGAATAGGCTACAGACAAGTCAATATTAAATCATGCTGTCCAAGAGGGACAGGAAAAAAGGTCAATTTGTTGAATATAACTTGCTAGAATCATACAAAAACTATAAGGGCGAAGCAAACATTTGGTTGTTGAAAAATCTATTTCAGATTACAGCATAGCACAAAATTTAATTCTAAGTCAAAACTTCCAATATTGGTATGTATAACAGGCACTAGTGATTGCTCATACCGATTCCACAAGCAGCTTCAAAATCATCGACATTCAACTTGTCAGAAGCAGTTGTGGAAAGAAACGAAAAGGCAGCTTCCAACTGAGCAGGAGTTTTGATCTGCACCAGTAAAAAGTAAGGACCTACTATTGTGCGGGCGGGAGAAAAAAAAATTGCTAAGACCATGTCTGAAAAGTAGTGCTCAAGGAGTTCAAATATAGAAAACCAAAAACGAAGAAGAGAAGGAGCTACAAACCTTTGATGAAATAATATATTTAAGCAGTGTAGGTCGATGTACAAGAGCATTTGCGGGAAATTTCGTTGCAACCTGCCAAGAAAAGGCACCACACGCATTCCATTTCAAATTTCCATATCACAAAACAAATAGAAGTGTGCATCTAGCATATGGCGCAAATGTGCTTATATTTCCCAAAATAAGCAATCAGCAAAGCAAAATTATCAAATATCATTCTCAAGGAAACAATTCTTATTCTTAATGATAATTTGTTGGGTTTATTCCACTGTCTTATCTAGCCTTCTTCTGTCTGATACTCTAAAGTAAAAACAAGAATCCCGATAAATTCTACTATCAGAAATTAAACATAAATACGTCGATAACTGAAAAAGTACCAACTTACTGTGTACAGTAGATTTCCAACTGTCCGATCGCACCCATCAGCAACACCTGCCTGCAATGTAGTAATCAAAGTTGAACTACGTATTAAGCTAATTTTCCATCAGCAAATACAATATTATTAGTAAAAACAACAACTGAAAAAAGTAAAGACAAAAACCAGTTGATTAGATTTTCCACATTTTGTTAACTTAAACATTTCAACCTCGGTAAATCCTCCACTCAACCCATAAAGACATGTGTTTCAATTCTCCAGAATTTCCCAGAAAAACTATGGAAGTCAATTAAAATTGAAGATATGACACAAAAACAAAACAAAACAAAATAAAAATCCACATGCAGAAGCGAAAAAACTTAAAAACACTAATAATTGACGTAAACCAAATCAATCCTAAAGTAAATTGAAATTCCCCTACACCAGTGACCGATTTCTTCAACAAAAACCCGCATGCACCAAAAAAAAAAAGTTATCCAAGGTAAATTGAAATTCCCCTACACCAGTGACCGATTTCCTTCAACAAAAACGCACATGCACAAAACAATAAGTTAACACCCAAAACGCATCATTTGCCCAACTCAATTGCACCAAAATAACACACGCATACCTCGTGAATGACGGCGGTGAGATTAGCGGTGACCTTGTTATTAGCGACGGTGTTTTTTGCAGTATTTTCATCCAAGCCAATCTTCAGAAACAAATCCGCGGGACTCGCCATCTTGTTTGCTCTGCAATTTTTTTTTTTTTTTTTTTTTTTTTGATGTTCTTCCCAAATAATGAAAAATGTAATTGGGATTACTTAGAGTGTGTGTGTGTGTGTCTGTGTGCGAATGAAGCTGATTTTAAAACCCTAGCGAGTGGCGACTG